TCGACTCTAACGCCGACTCCGGCAATATATTCTCTTATCTTACCGACCAACGACACTACCTTCTCTATCGCCAACTACCAACGACGCCGGAGCCAAGGAGCTGATGTATTTTTGTTCTTTTCTATCTGCCTAACGAGCTATTTTAGACTGCAACGAGGTACACTATCTTTTTTGCTGTGAGTTGATGTATTTTGGTTTGTATTTTTTTTTTTATGATGATAAAATATTTCGAGATCAAGGAGTTGTCTGCGGTGTCAATTTTTGATGTATTTGGGGAAACTGTTTTTTATTTTTTTGATCCATGATTACTATGAAAATCACTATATTATTTTACTTACATAATGCATTGCTCTTTCTCACATTTAATTTTTAGCAAAATTGGACACTTTGATAGAATGCCCACCAACTGTTTGATAAAATGACTATCAGTGAACAGATGCACAGTTTGATAGATCACTATACAGTGGACAGTTTGATAGATCACTATACAGTGGACAGTTTGATAGATCACTATACAGTGGACAGATCTAAATAATCCACTATACGTGCTAGTGTTTCTGATGGAGAAAATGCCAAATATTTAACTCGGGTTATGCTTGACGGGCTGTTTTTAAGGTTGTTGTATTTCCACATTTTTTCTGTTTTTTTGTATAGTCTACTGTTTTTTGGTTGTTAAACTGTAACTGTTTTACTTGAATAGTTTCAATTTTTGCTTCTTGTAATTTTTTGGTTTTTATGAAATAAAATTTTCTCCTTTTTCTAAAAAAAAAATATATGTATATATAGGAAGAGAGAACGTATTACTTCAACAATTCTAAAAGACAATCAAACATGATTTTTTATTGTATTTACCATTAACATGTGTTTTGCAGGATAGTTGGACTATGTGGTTTTTTCGTATGATATATTTATTAATATGATATTTTTGTGTATGATATATATTTATTTATTTTATCATTATATGTGTAGTGTATGTTTGTATATTTGCATTCAATACTATTAATAATTATAACACAAATAAATGTTTTCACATCAAAATGTACTTTTTATAAAATATATTAATTTAAGTATTTTAAATTTTGAATATTGAAACAATATTTATTTAATAAAAGTGTTTTTCTTATAAACACTTTTGATAAGCATTTATTAGAAAAGTACTTTTTAGATTTCATAAGTCATTCAAACACACTCTTAAACTTTCTAAATAAGTATTTTTAATGCCCAAACTTGCATAATATAATACTAGCAGTCGTCCCGTGATATACATATATCTCGGCATCCTTGTCGTCACCACCTTTACTTCTACTTATTCTATCATTGTTACAAATTAATTACTAACGTTTTGTTCCGCGGTTGAGACTAATTTTTAATAATTTAGAGGTCTTAGATTCAATTTTTTTTTACACCTCCTGAAACCTAGCTACTCTTATCCTTTTGGAGACATGCTTTAACCAAGCTTAAACCACGGTACCCAATTGCTAAGCTCGAGGGAGTAGTCGGCGCAAGTCTGAACACCCTGTAACAAAAAAAAAATTGATATTTGACAAAAATTAAAAAAAAAAAATTAATAAAATGATGAAAATTTAAAAATGCGGTAGTTATCAAAAAGTTGGACACATGTCAGATTTGAATTAGAGGACACCAATTAAATAATTCCAAATTTTAAAAAAATGATTTGTAGGGAAAAAGCTTTTGAAACACTCTCCATTTTAAATTGATTCTTTTAGTATATAGTATAGATATTTTCAAAGTGGATTGTTCAATTAAAATTCAAAATTCACATTTATATATTATTCCAAGACGTCATCGAGTATAGGGCTTTTTTATAACACTTTTTTTGGGAGGATTGGGGTCTGTTTCACTAGGGCAAGAGGCTACCAAGCTACAGGTAGATAGAGAAGGTTGGAGGCTTGCCGGTGGATTTTGGGCGTGTAATTTGGGCTGATTAATTTGAATCGAACCTAAGTTTAACCTGAAATATTTATTAACTACTTATTATTTGTGTCTGAAGATACAAAGTAATAAAAAAAATTGTCAATTATAAATATATTTATATTCACATCCAAAATTAAATCACAAATATAAAGGATAAGAAAAAATTTAAGCATTGATTGTCATGGGAGTGAGCGATACAAGTGGTGGTTGGAAACAGTGATTGTTGTGGTGAAGAGTGATGACCGTAATGGTGGTGGCAACGGTGATAATGGTGATAAATTTTAGGTGACGATGGTGGTAGTGACAGTCATGAGTGACGACAGTAATAGTGGTGGGCGACAGTAACAATAGTTAACAGTCATGGTGGTGGGGCGACGACGGTGGTGATGGTGGCAATGGGTTGTGGTGTGTAGACAGTGACAATAGTAATGGTGAGTGTGAGTGGTGGTCGATAACGATAGGTGCTTGTAGATGCCATTGGAGGTGGGTGGTGGGGAATGGCGATGGTGGTGGTATGTGTGGTAGGGGTGGGGTGACGACGAGTGATGATGGGTTGTGATAGTGGGTGGTGGTGGCGGTGGACGACAAGTAATAAATGTAAAAATGAAATAATGATGGTAATGAATGATAGTGGTAGTAATCGGTAGTGGGTGATGACAACGATGGTAGTGGTGGTGGTTGTTGTGGCAGAGGTGATGGCAGTGGTGGTGGTGGTGATGGTAGTGGGGCGATGGGGGTAATAGTGGTGAAATGTTTTGTAGATAGTAATTTTAAAGAAATAGAAGTTATTTTTTATTTTTACTTTTATTTACGTACTTATTTAAGAGGTAAAATTACTTTTAACTTATTTGAAAATAATTAAAATAAGTTATTTCAAACACTACTTTTTTTTTGAAGTATTTATGAGAAGTTATAAGTTTTAAAAGTGTAATTAAAAAATCACTACAAATACATCTTAAGGACCTATTTTTCCTATTAAATTTGAAAAATTAACATTAGTCGTCTGCTTAATTTTAAAATAAAATTTAAAATGATCTTAACCGCAAAAAATAAAAATTTATTGTTTATATTATATTTTATTATATAGATCGTTTAAAGATTGTTAGTACTTGGGATTGAACACTGAACCCCAATCACAACTTTAGTTGTCTAACAAAACCCACGTTTTTTTTGTAGCTTGGACAATAACTATTGACAGGACAGAGAGGAATCAAATTCAATTCGATTAATGCTACGTAGACTTAAAAATTATATTTGATAATCCTAACCATTAAATAGATAGTAGATTCCAATAAATACTAGGACCCACAATAAAATCAATGGTTGTACTTATTAAGTTTAATTTTTAAATCTACTTTTTAAGTTCATGTAACATTGCTCAATTCACAATTCGTGACCATAAGTGCCTAATATGGTCATCGAGAATAATCGAACAAGAACTTCTAACGAAGACCTTCATTCCCCTTTGAGTCTTTACCACAACTCTATTGTACCTCTCAAATCCATGTCTCCTCCAAATTTTACAAAGCTGAGACACCCTAGACCAACCATTTTTATTGCAAATTCTAAGGAAAATATAAGTTTGTGGCCAGTGAGCAAACCTGTAAAAGGTTTACAACTCCACAAGCAGATCAAAAAAACAAATAGAATGATTGGAACAATAGATACAAGGACAGCCCAACTTTAACACTTTCATTATACTTCTGCTTCACAACTGTAGCTACAAATCAAAACTAAGAGGATATTCATACCAAACTCTCCACATTGGATGATTGGAAACAAGTTTTTAACAACTTCCAGCTGAAAATTATGTACTTGTAGTATGCCTTTAGACCAATAGAAAATGCAACCACAATTCTAAGAGCATGCTTTGTCACCTCCCAGATTTGAAATCACCTTGTTAGAATCTTGTATCAAACAAGAATTTTCTCACCAGGGTGTGATTTTCATTTCAACAAACTAATCCATATTGTCATTATGACCCTGAAGCTGAAATTATCAGTTCCCTTGTGCTGCAAAAAACTTACTTTAGAAAGGCTCAAAATAGAGTCGAGCAAACGAGTGAAAACAAATGCCTCCTGTTGTTTATTGATGAACAGATTTCTTGAAGTGCAAACATGAGTTGAAGGACATGTCAAAGCACACAACTTAGTACCCACAGTCAATATGACACAGTTCGCAAAGATAGATGAGTTATGTAAAAGTGAGAGTTCGAAATCCAATTCCTCAATAATATGATTAAATAAAGACAAGAGATTAAAGTGATAGAGAAACTAGAAAGCAACTGCCCCCCCCCCCCCCCCCCCCCGCCTTTTTCAAAAAAACACCAACACACATATAGGTAGATGACTTAATCAAGTCTATTATGCCTTAAGAGAATACACAACTCTATGTTAGTGTCAATACAAAATTGAAGCCCAAAAGACTGATGTCTTGTGTCAGTTTGATATTTTCATTAATCGAATTAATGATTTGCACTGATCCAAAATCCGAGGAGGCTTATGCATATGATTTTGAAATATAGGGAGCTAATTTGTTATCAAATTAAACCATACTTAGGTAAAAAAGTGTTTAATCATATCTTGCTAAAGACAAATGAACCTTTGATCACTCGAGAGCTAGCCTCTTCTTCATTAAAGACACCAGCAAATTACACAAATCCTAGCCCTCTTGTTGGTTTGTTTTTTCTTCAAACAAAGAAGTTGCATGTACTCCAGTCGCACCACATGATGAAGAAAAAATCATGGGATTATCTCCTTTTGGTTTTCTTTCTTAGTAAAACAACCACACCCCTGACATCTTCGCTACCCGAACCAAGGTTGGAGGACCATAATTTCATTACATACATCCCACATATCACTAGGGCATATAATGGGATATCACATGCATGCACAAACTAGAATTAAATACCAAAATGATATAGGTTTCTCCATGGCAGAATCCTATAGATAAATGACCACTGACCAGCCCCATGAAAAGAAACAATTTTTTACTATGGATAAAATAAAAAACATGCTCCACCAAAATTTACAAACAAACAAGCAATTCTCATTTACAAATAATCACATCAACAATCTTTGTGCTGTATCAAGAGACTGAGAAAATATTTAGATGCTCATTGTCAACTGATTTACCCTTTAATAGGTACACTCATGAACCTTTCTTCACCTTTCAACCAATTTTTCATCCACATGTTAATCTAAAGATACCATTGAGCGATGAACGTACCAATCTGATCCCAAAGCAACACTATGCCAACATTCTTATATCCAAAAGTAGTTATGTTATTGTTACTCACATTCCATGAAGATATGCCAAAAAAAAACAAACAGCTAACACATTATGATGGAAAAAGAAAACACCAAAACAAAGGAATTTCCATAAAGGGATCCAAAAGGCGATATTATATCCAATACATAAATAACTGAAAAATGAGATCGCTTTAGCTCTTCTTTTCACCTCCATCTTTCTTTGACTTCTTAGCCGTGGCTTGAGAGTACAAGAAAGTCCCAAATATTGCAATGGCAGATCCAAGCGCATTCAAAGGCCTAACCGGATTCCTGAAAACCAAGACAGTGGAGATAATCACCACAACCCGCTTCATTGTGTTTCCCACAGAGAATGTCAAGGGGCTAATCTCATCAAGTGCTTGGTAAGATGATTGGTTATAGAGATGGTAAAACACCCCAGACAATATCACCCAAATATAAAATGTGGATGATTTTCCTATAGTTTCGATAGCACTATGATACCCTGCAATCCATTGAGACCCTTCAACAAAAACTGCCACAGGAAATAGATATAGCAATGAAATTATAGTAATCCAACCATACAAATTCAACCCATTTACTTCCTTAAAGCTCTGCAAACTTTTTTTAGAATAAATATTGCGAAGAACAAATCCCACATTACTAATTAAAGCCCCCCATAGGCCTGCAAAGTTGAAGGAAACTTCAGTGATGGCAGCTAGAGAACAACCCATAACAATGGGGATGATTGAGAGCCAAATAGTTAATGGGTATGTATCGCCAAGGAATGATGAAAACATGACAGAGAAAACAGGTTCTGCAGATTTGATTACATGGGTGAAAGAAACAGCCACCTTAGAGAATGAGACACAGGCTGAGATGTGGCCAATTGTGTGGAATAGTGCAGGTCCAAGAAGGGCAATGATGAATGATTTGGAGATTTTTGGGCATGGTTGGAGCTTGAAAGACCAAAGAATGAGCATCCAGAGAGACCCACAAAAGAGCTGAAAAGAGGCAAGAAACCATGGGAATGAGAAGATGTTCAATACCTTCTTATTGTAGACATTGAACACAATGTTTTGGAAGTACCAGAGGCCAAAAATGACAGCAAGTTGGAGGGATTTGTTGGGCTTTGAAACCTCAATTTTTCCATCCGGGTTTGCTTCTTGTGGGGTTCCAGATGCTGCTTGAGGGATATTAGAAGTGGGTTTTGAAGAAAATCCAACTTGGTGTCCAAAAATGTTGGGATAGGAGATATGAGATGCGGGATTTGAAGAAGACCCAAGTGAGCGGCCATGGATATTGGTGAAGCTTGAACTCAACCACCTAGGTTCATTAAGATGAGAGATGTGTTTAGTGAGTGGAAGAGATGGAACATGTGGGGTTCTCTGGTTTTGATTCCTGTTCACAAGTTTTGGACACAAAAGTGAATTATTAATTGGATACTTGTAACCAGATATGGAGAAAGTGACACTTGAGGTTGGAAGAAGATTTAAAGTAAGCATCTTTAGAGAGAGAGATAGAGAGAGAAGGAATGAGAGATTGATTCTGCAACTAAAAGCAAGAAGAAAGTAGATTGCTAATGATATTTGGATGTGTGGGAGAGATATTTGTGAATAGTAGGTCCACTTCCTCTCGTACAAGTGATTGTGCATTATCACTAATGCATTATATGACTCGGTAATTATGAGTTTTACTTAGATCAGACTTCTTTGCTTAGTAATAGAAGTAGAAATAACAATCTTAACTCATTACTTATTAATTCGTTTAATTCGCTTATAAATAAATGAATTGAATATTTATATTAATTAATAGGAGTTTTAAATGAGTTAGGCAATATAATTTATTTTAATTAAACAGGTTAATATAGATTATAAATGGGTACCCATTAAATTGAATATTTATCTTTTTATTAAATAAAACAAGCAATAAAATTAAAAAAATATATTAGTATACTAAAAAATACACACATATACACTACACACATATACACTAATACACCAAAATATAAATACACTAATACACAAAAAACAAACACACTAATACACGACCCATAACCTGCAGGTTAACCTATGATCCATGTGTCGACCCATGACTCACATGGCGACCCACTACCCATGGGTTAACCCATGACCTATGGATTGAACCTCGGACCAACTCATAACCCACGATCAACCCTGACCTATTATGTGTGTATTTTTTTTATTAGTGTATATTTTAATGTATTATTGTGTATATTTTTAGTGTACTATTTGCGTGTGTTTTGGTGTATTAGTGTGTGTGTATGTTTATATTTCGGTGTACTACTAATGTGTGTGTTTTTGTGTACTAATATGTCTATTAAAAATTTCAATTATCTTATGGATTAATCGGTTTAATCCAATCCGTTATAAACTCAATCCATTATAACTCATTTATTATGTGAGTGAAAAATGAATTGTATTTATTTTGATCCAATCCAATTTAACCCAACTCAATTCACCCATTTGTCACCTCTACTTACTAGTAATGCACAAGTGTTAGATAATAAAATTATGTTTATATTTTTTTTAAAATTACAAAGTGTATCAAGATGACAAAATAAAAAGTTATTGGATGCATTCAACGGCTTCTTGAATTCAATAAGATTTTTTGACATTACAATAGAAGATAAAGAAAACTCTTAAATATAATTTATTGATATAAAATTATTCCACATCCACATGAATTCAAGAAGTCTGGTAACAAAATTAATCCTACTTATAATATAATAACAACTCGTAAAACACTCAAGTCTACTAATAATAAATACTTAAATATTAAGAGATTAGTTTAATTTCCAACACAGATTAAGCTCTTCATTCCACGAAAAATACATTTTTTTTTATTCATTATTGCTTTGATGGGAACACTAATTCAATCAAACACAAACTAATTTTAGTTTCATTTCAAAAATTGATGTAAGGTATACAAAACATTTAGACAGTGATCATATCCAAAACAAATGGACAACAAAGTAAATAAAATATCATACTAGCAATAAGCATATACCGACACAAAAAAAAAAAAAAAAACTTACAGGTTGACTACACCAAACACCATCCACCCACCAATTTTTACAGCTACAAGATGCTTAACCTCAAGGGAATAGAGATGAAAGTTCACTAATTTTAATGGATTTTGAAGAAAAAATTTATTATAGAGATATAAGACAAAACACGTTATGCAAATACTAATATTTATAAATAGTGTAGATTAATAGAGAATTATATCACATAATATTGTTGATATAGTGTAACGATAACTTAGGCCTAATATTTTGTCCTCTCTCTCGTGGGACTCTTCTCCTGGTATACAAATATTTGGATCACGCATGTGCCTCGCGAGCATAAAAGAAAGGTTGAATTATAATTTGTATCAAGTATCTATTTAATTTTTGGGTAAATTATATCAATAGTCTCTAAGATTTGTCATTTGTTATACTTTCATATTTAAAATTTTAATTTTATGAATTTCGTCCCTAAAATTCAAACATTGAGTCAATTTAATCCTTGACATTAATTGTCGTCATAAAAATTGACGAAAAACACTATGTGCCCATCACGTGCATATCTTTAAGAGTATTTCTGATATTATATTATTGTACTATAGTTATATGTATGATGCACGAAATTTATATTTTTTTACAATCATCTCTGCCAAGTACACTTATACCCCCCTCGGCTAACTTTAAAAACTGTCTTGTGTAAATTATACCAAATTAGAGAGAAATATTTAAAATATTGGATAATTATTGAATATTATAGAAAGACTAGTAACTACCCGTGCCTGAAGGCACAGTTCAACAAAAAAATCGAGCCACTATATCAAATCATGACAACTACTCATACCTAAAGACATTGTGCAACATAAAATTGAGCATTAATCATATACTACAAATATTTTCAGTAGCATACAAATATTTCAAGTAGCAATTTATTTAATTTTTAGTTAACACCACCCACAATCAATATTCCAAAAAATTGACAGAATTTACTTAAAAAAGATAACACAAAAAAAAAATATCAATCTGCGTACATAATTTATCAAATGACCAATAATTAAGATATGTTTCTATAAAGAAACACATGAATTTACAGTAAACACGTCTCAGTTCATTTGTTAGATTCAATATCATGCCTCAATTCTACCGTAACAAAACTATTTATCAATTATCACAACAACATAATAATCTATACCAAATTCAACATTTTTCATATACATCTGCATATATCAAATTCAACTTGCAATTTCAAACGCACGCATTTAATTAACGTACATATAAACTCCCATATAAAAATTGCTACAACAAAAGTCCAAAATTCAAGCAAAACTAAAACAAATCAAGATGATTGATTCAATTGATCATGTGTTTGTACCTAAAGACACTAAATAACCAAAAACGAAACCAAAAAAAAAAGCAAAAATTGGAAATTCATTACACAAAAAGTTAATCCTCAATATATTTTTTAAAAATTTGGCTCGAGTTTCTACCAAAGATGGGCCCCTAGACAATTTTCAACATGTATACACAATTTATTTTTATACCCAAGAAGACTACCAAATGTCTAACTATTACAAAATTTTGTCTAACACAACCATTTTACCAATTAACGCAATCACATAAGCAAATTATATAACATATGAATTTCATAAACAAAATATTCACCATTACACCCAAGAATACTCAAACGCCAAATCTCTTATAAATCTACAATCAACAATTAACAAAATAAAAAAAATGAAAATAGTGTATATAAATCTACCCAGCCTAATCTCTTAACTACCGTATGTGAATAAACTTTGAACATGAACTACAAACGCCAAGAACAAACATAAAATCGTTTTAAACAAATTCACATCGATCACCAAAGGTATAAGCAAATCTTAGGTAGCGCAAAAAGAGTAACAGAGTTCATCTCAATAGTTTTAAACACCTAAGTATCTTATACACTGTTGTTGGGCATTTTTTTTAACTCATACAAAATAATAATAATAATAATAATAATCACTTGCTTTTTAATGTAGAAGAACACATATGACAAATTACCATACTTCTTGATGTTACTATCTTTCCTAACCTAAGCCCGAGATAACAACTAGATCTAGCAATTTAGATGCATCCACAGTTGAAATCTCTGTCAAAGAATCCTACAATGAAAGAAAAATTTGATGAGATGTTACAAAAATGGGATAAAAGATGAGATGCAAGGAATTACTGGGATTGCTTCCAAACTGAGAACTTGGAATTGTGATACAGGTTCCAAAAAGCGTATTCACTTCAATTTTAAATTTTCAACTTTGTTAGGCAAGTTCATATGGACCAAAATCATAATAGAATAAGAGTGAGATGCAAAATATAAAGGCATAGAAATTACCAAATGCATCAAACATTAACCAGATTTTACACGTTTCGCACAATTGTATTTTTTCGCCATCCGCATACCAAGCAATCTCACCTATGAAATTTTTTGTCATTACCACCTCAAAACAAACCAAAATTTAGTAGTGATAGAACCCTCAAAAATAACAAAATACCATGTGCAATAAAAACCAATAAAAGGAATTAAAAAACCAAAAAGAAAGTACACTCGATACGGGTCATCTAACTTCTATATACACTAACATGAAAATATTTCTACATTTAACTCTAGGATCCATATCCCCCAATTGCCACAACAAAAGTCTAAAATTCAAGCAAAACTGAAACAAATCAAGATGATTTGTTTAGTTGATTCTGTGCTTGTGTCTAAAGACGCTGAGTAACCAAAACAAAATAACAATTAGCAAAAATAAGAAATATATTTCACAAAGAGTTAACCCTCAATATATTTTAAACAAATTTGGCCAAAGTTTCCACAAAAAATGGGCCCTTAGAAAATTTTCAACTTGTATGAAATTCCATTCAAGCATGAAATTCCCTATTCAAGGAAAAAGAAAATCCCATAATCCTAATTCCAATCTCAATTATAGCCCAATTTTTTCCGAATCTCAATTGAAGCCCATAATTCCCAGCTACTCCAAAAAAAGTTTTAAAGAGTAATCAAAATGTCAAAATTCTAAATTTCACACAACCGAAATGTCAAAATTCTAAATTTCACACAAACCAAGGCAAAGGAATGACAATAAAAACAACAAATTGAATAAGCACAACTCCTAGACAAAGAGATAGGTAACTTCATTGGTACCAATGGAACAATAATCAATTCAAGCACAAAATCATAATTTTCACTCAGGCATGAAATTCCCTATCCAAGGAAAAAAAAAAATCCTATAATCCTAATTCCAGTCTCAATTATATCTCAAATTATTCCAAATCTCAATTGAAGCACATAATTCCCGGCTACTCCAAAAAAAGTTATAAAGTTTAATCCTAATTCCAATATTTAGTGGAGACATACCTAGCAAGGGTGTGGCGGAGGCAAGGGCAGTGTGGCTGTGGTGGCTTCGGCTATGTGACTGGCATTGGAATAACAGAGAGAGTTTGTTGAGTGAAAAAAGGGATAGGAAAACGGGAAAAAAAAAAAAAAAGAGAATGCATGGTGGGCAAAGTGGTTTCTGATTTTCTAACAGTGGAAGTGACGGTGGTGAGGTG